CGACGGCCCTTTGGTAGGAAGTGGAGAATTTCGTCAGCGTAACCCCTGGCTTGCAGGCATCACAGCGCTTATTCGCACAAGTATCGAGCACCTCGTCCGACGGCACATGGCGTTCTATCCTTCTCTGGTGAGCTCTCCATCCTCTACGCTGGCGAACTCAGAACTCTCGTTGGTAGCTGGAAAAAGCGCTGTCCGCATGGACTCAGGCGTTTTCACAATGATGATGTCGTCGTTGGATACATTAGATGCGTCTGGTGGTGTCTGTTGGAATGTTGCTGTGCTAGGTGGGTGGTCGAATCCACCATTACGGCGAAGGTCCTGTCGGGGCTCGCAGAGCCGATTGGCTGACACTCAAGAGAGCTTATCCGATCCTGATGGTTGGCTTGAGGAGAGGGAGGCCGCTCACCACGGCAGCACTCCTCGACTGAGGGGTACCAAGGATTGCCGAGCCCGCCCTCGCCGGGTGCCTAGTGTAAACCAGCTTCATCCGATCCGGGTGGATAAGAGCAGCGGAGGTCGAGGGTAGGTTAGTCGTCGTGTGACAATGGCTCATATCAACTCAGGCAAATACCATCCGGAATGCTACTGTTCGGCTCAAGAGTGGATGTGGCGGTCGTGCTACGGGATATTGCTGACGTATCGCTGCCAAGCTCAGGTAGCGTTCCGGTGTATCTACGTGCTCGAGTTCAATGCCTATCATGCTGTTAGGTCTTTTATGGCGTCCAAGGGCGCCAAGGCGACCCCTCCTTCCGAAGGAAGAGTACAAGGTCGCGGGCAAAGACATTGCGTTCAGTGATGAAGCTATTCCTACACAACTACGGCGAGCTCAGTGGCAGCGGAAAATTCCGGTTCCTCATTCCTACCAAAACTTGCACTTTTGATATTCCCTTTTGGAAGATTGACCCTCCTCCCATGTTGAGTCACCGCTCGTCGCGTTGGGTTTGTTAATGCAGGGTTGGGAGGGCTACGCTTGATGAGGGACCACTAGGAAAAGGCTCTAATATTCCAACCTGGATATTCGATATGGATTACTGAGAGATAACTGTGTGCTGTTCTCCATGTCCAGCGATACCAAGGTCGCTACTGGGTACGACTTATCCTACGGCCAGGTTGCTAGTACCATCGAGAACCTGATACCTCCTAAAAGGCGAGAACGCTATCCAGCCTTCTTGGACTGGCCAGTCGGCGACTCTTAGATACCGCTCCCTCGGGTCGGAAGAATTACTTTCCTTTTCGGGGGCTGGGATATTGCCTGTATGCATTGACCCCAATGACAATGAAGTGAAAGTAACCCCCAAGCCTCTATTAGTTACAGCGTCGACGTATCTTCCTTGTTTCAGGTCCTTGTCCACGCAGTGAAAGCCATAGAAGGGGATGTCCGCGTGTTGTACGATTTCGGAGGCCAGAAGCAGGGTCCACGAGAACTCCCTTCTGTGACTGCAAGTCGGCACTTCGGAGAACATACCTACGGACTTTTCGGGGTAGCCACATACCATACAGACTTTTAATATGTCATCTTCGGATTCTTTGGAAGACTTCAACTTCCAGTGCTCTGTATCGTCTCAGTTCCAACCGGATCATCAGTCGGGTTTGGGGGCTGGAAGTGCATACGATAAGGCTCTGGTTGAAGCCCTGTAGCGCGAGTAACCCTTCGCGCTGTCGCATTGAGATGGCATACAGGTTTTCGCCGACTGAGACAGCCAGATCTCGCCAGGCGTTGTCGAGTGCGAGCGCTCAGTTGTGGGCCCGAGACCGGCTCATTCAATTATCTAGAACTGGAGGGGAGCATGGGGTACATGCTACTCACGATGATATTCCGGGATGCATACACTTTGTAGACACTGCAGTGCACTCATTTGAGCACCCGAACCCATGAGGAGATTGTCAATGGCCCATATGTCTGTTATCTAATGCCTGTTCACTTTATTGCAGCCAACACTCTGAAGTAAGTCGTTGGCTCTCCGGCTTCCAGGACATCAAATGTCAGTGTTGAAATATATGTTCGCTTTCCTCAGTTGAGTCCACAAGTTTCCTCACTAATTATAGAAGATTACAGATGAATCCCGTCTAAGTTTACAGAAACCAATTACAATTCCCCATAATTTCCTCATAGTCTTCGCACTGTCACCAACATATGTGGTTGACCATGTGCATATTTTTCCACACTGTCAAATGTAGTTACGCAGCTGAATTGTGCGGTGATGCTGTCCGAGACTTTTCGTGGATCCGAACCACTGACATTCCTCTCCTACCGATGGCGTCACACCTATCGACACGTACTCTCCGTTCAGTAAGCGGGGATACAATGTAGCCTTTACTGTTGTACGATAACTAGTCGTTCCATAAGGCGAATCAGTGATGCTCTTGGAATGACTTGCTCGATACTAGGCTTTGTCAGGCCTTGGAGGAGCTCACACCAGCAGCGCTTGAGAAGACCTCTGCGCTCGACTAGATATCCCCAAAACTAACTATCATGTGGGCAAGGAGAAGG